CACTTGCCCGCACACTGGAGACCCTATCGATGGAGCTTGACTGTTTATCAGAAAACGCCTGCAAGGTTCGAGCTCCGTGCTTACACTGCGATCCCCACTTGCGACACTGGCGGCACATTCTCATTGCGCCTGTCTGGCGATGATGCAGCTTCAAGTGCCGATCAAGCTGGTGTCGGCACTGTTTTGACTCCCCGGGCTGAAGCTGCCCTGATCGATTGAATCCCAGTCAACAGTCGGATGTGCGCCGTTATATAAGCTGATTCGTTCTATGCTACGCGTTTGAACAAACGGTGTCTGTTTGCCATTGCGGCCCATGCCCCTACAAACTGTAGCACTGATTCAGTGACAGATGATTTCTATCAGCAACGTCACTATCTCCTTCGTTACAGAAGAAGCACGGACACTGTGGTGTTGGCTGGTGATCTAAACCCCCAAGTCGTAAAATTGTCCTCTGATGAGCTTCATCTGGGCGGCCAACATCGTGTAAGCTCCCGTAATAACAAAAGTGAGCGATTACTACAGCTGTGTGATGCTCGTCTCTTACCCGCGAGCAAAAACTTTCGACACAGCACCCACAGAAGTGTGACTTGGCGTTCACCAGCTTCGCACCAAACATGGACACAAATCGATTATATCGCGATCAGTTACCGCCGAAGAGGCTCTGTCCCAAACTGTCACTCGATTTGGAGCACCAGCGTGGACTCTGATCACACACTTGTTGGCGCCGACCTCCGGTGAAGGTCCACAACATCGATGTCAACGGAATGACACCAGTCAGCTGGCGAAAGCAGGTGTTCTGAATGTCTATCAAAGTGAGCTGACATCCGGCTGAGTAAGCGCCCACTGAACACCGTCGAAGCTCACTGGTCGCATATTCGTCCATCGTCAATATTAGCGGGCATGTCTTCATGTGATAAATCAAATTACCAAACCGGATATTGGGTCTCTACACAATCTCTGGAACTTATGGATGCTCGCCGACGTAATCCGGCTGCAAGCGAATACAATGAGACTCGCAAACATCTCAGGGCAAAACTGCGTACTAGCCTGAAGAAAGACCGCGAAGCGTGGTGGTCTCATCGTGCCCCGCTGTAAACAGTCGCTACCGTTGGTAATAATCATCGTAAGTTATTCCCTCTGATATGGGGAAACAGGCAGCAGGAGACCTGCTGTTAGCGAGACCATAGGCGACGAGAGTGGACAGACGATCCACAGCCTGTCAAAACGCTTGAAGCATTGGGCCGAACATTTTGCAAGGCAATTTAACCAACCTGAGTTATCGCTTTCCTTTCCGGGCATTGAGCGCCTTTATCCCCGGACCGTCTCCCTGGATCCGAAAATACGCACAGAAGTCAAATGTGAGATCAGGCTGTCAAAATTGAATAAGGCCGCAGGGGCATATAAAATTCCCCCAGCACTCTTCAAATTCGGAGGACCTGCTCTAGTAGATGATTTACACCAGTTGGTAGTGAAACTTTGGGAGCAAGAGACTGTCCCGACAGACTGGAGCAGCTCCGTCATTGTCCCAATTTTCAAGGGAGGCTCCCGTTCGGAATGCGGCAATCATAGAGAGATCAGTCTGACATCAATTGCCTCTAAATTGCTTGCGTCTGTCATTCTCCACAGACTGACTGGCACTCGTGAAAGCCAGATTCGTGAAAGGATGCCGGGTTTCGTCGAGGTCGGGGTTGCATCGACCACACCCTCACATTGCGTCAATTGTTGGAGCACCGCCATGTGTATTGGCGACCCACAGTTGTTGTTTCTGGAAATAAAAGGTGTCTTCGACTCAGTCGATCGATGTGTCTGATAAATACGCAACCATTATCAAAGCGCTGTACGCGCGTAGTCCGGGCAGAGTGAGAGTTTATGGCAAACTGTCGCCACCCTTCAGTATCACCAGCGGTGTGAGACAAGGTTGCTCGCTGTCACCTTTCCTATTTAACTTCGCAGTTGGCAAAGTCGAGCAAACAGCAATCGCTAGACATGACCTAAAAGGTGTGGAGCTATTCCTGGTGAGCGACTTCTTGACTTGGAGTATGCGGACGGTATTACCATAATCTGTGACAGGTCCCAAACATGCCACGCAGCACTGGACCGATTAGCACTAGCTGTTCATCGTTTTGGGCTATGCTTTACTCCATCGAAATGCGAAGTTCCTCTCCAAGATTGGCAGGGATCCACCTCTGCGCTAACGCTTTGTGGTGATCAGCTAGAAGTCGTTTAGGAATTCAAGTACCTGGGCAGCTATAGTAGCACCCATGGGATCGAAGAGGAGGTCACGAACCGTATAGCAAAAGCTCGAGGTGCTGTTGCCAATCTCCTCCACCTGTGGCGCAGACGCAGTATTATTCTCGCCCTGAAGAACAGAGTTTACAGTGCCGTCGCCCGTTCAACCCTCCTATATGATTGTGAAACCTGGCCCATCAGGTCGACGGACATAAAGAGGCTCGTCACGCTCGATCATCGCTGCCTTCGCAGCTTAGCTCATGTCTGGTGGGAGTACTGCGTGAGCAAGGAGCGTATTCGACGTCACGTATTTGGTGCAAGGAGAGCGAGTGAACTGCTCAGCACCATTATATCACGCACCAGGCTCTGATGGCTGGGCCACCTGTTGTGTATGCCAGCACACTGACTCCCGCGACATGCATTGTTTGCGTGCCGCGGGTGCGGTTGGAAGAGGAGGAGGGGAAGCCAAACGATGAGTTGATCGAGAGGAATAAAAACCGTCACTGTGAAACTAGCGTCGGTTGGTGCATCCCGACTGCCTGGCTGGGGTCCTAAGGACGATGAACACGTTTGGTTGGACACACTTGCTGATATGACGAAGAGCGGACCCCAATGACGTTTGTGTTGTGAGTTTCTTTGTCCATCCCCTTCCCTTTAGGTTTCCCCTCCAATCCCGATCTCATGCATAAAAGCATAAGATAATATTTAACATCATATTTTTTTAGTGTAATTTGTAGTGTACTTTTTTGGTTTCTTGTCTTTTTGTACTGTGGCACATTAGCTGCGATGTGTTTCTCACCATCAGCTAACGTGTACTGATGATGATGATGAAGATGATATCATTACAGGGACAGCTCATTAGTGGACAATTTTTTTACTTGGCGTTTCAGATCTCCAGCAAGCACCACAGTACCCGTACTTCTCTTGTAACGAATGATCGCATTCAGTTGCTGATGGAGTTAATCTTTTACCGAACCAGTGTTACAGTTTGTGGACGCGTATGTAGCAATGACAAACGGGCACCGTTTGTCTCTGCGCGAGCTAGTAGCTCTGAACAAGCCAACCAGTCAGACAGCCTAAATCCGACTGCTGACTGAGATCCAATCGATCAGAGCGGCCTCAGCCCGGGATTCAGAGCAATGCGCACACAGGCTTGGTCGCCATTTGAAACTGCGTCATTTTCGGACAAACGAAACAAAACTTCCATTTGGCTCATCGCAATTAGACTAAAAGCGGCAATGGTGAGCTATCAATCTGGTAAAGCACTAGACGATTGTTTCGTCCTATTGGGACTAGTCCATGGTGGGCATTCTCCCGGTACCCTGTGGGGACTGAACCCATGACCGCCGGTGGCTTGCGCCATTAGATAGCAGCCTATGCAACCGAGACATACGGGACGATAGCCATCACGGATCGAAACAAGAAACGTCGCCGCTGTCGCTTGTGGGGGATCGCAGGGCGAGCACAGAGCTCAATATCGTGCAGATGTTTCCGATAGATAGCAGATATGGGTCGAGAGGGATTCTAGTGCTCGGGCAAGTGATGTTCGTTGGGCAATCTATAACAAAGTGCGCACGTTGAGGCATCAGCCTATTACGTAGTAACGAACTCAAGCAAAGCATACCCGCAGACCGTAGACAGGCAGGGCAACACAACAGTACGAAAACCCACGTGACCCATGAGATAAAGCATGAAGCGAACAGTTATGGAGTAGTCAAGGCGAGGTAAAGCAATAAGAACGCAGTGTGGTTGAGTTAACTAATCAATGTAATTGACGGACGTAAAACAGTCTTAGCGAAGAACGATCGCTCCAAAGAGAAACGGATGAACTGAGGTCGTCCGCTTAGTTGAACATGGACTTGCCGACTGGACTGGAGCGACGCCCTGCGACTGTGTGTGAGCGGAAACTAGAATACAAGCGACTATTGAAGCAAGATGGTGAAGAGCCAAGAATTAGAGGGTTGAAAACAACGGGGATAAAACTGAAATTGGTACGGGACGATAAAGATGAAAAAGCGCAAGAGAGCGAGAAAGAACACGGAAAAATCTGATCAGAAGCAGTCTCACTCCTACACACTCTGCCTGATGCAGCAGATGGGGCACCGTTGATCATGCTCTGCGACGGCCAGAGCATCAAGAAACTGTTTGAAGATAAATCCAGTGTACTGTGTGGGCAGGATACTGTCAGGCTGCCCAGGCCTCTGGTTCAAAAACTTGACCGTAAGACAGCTGGGTTTAGGCACTGGGTTACAAAGTCCGTTTTATGGAGTAAAACGCCACGCTCGGTTCAACTCCCAACTTAAGGGGCCAGGAGACTGAGTTTGTCAGGCCTCTAACCATTGGCCAACCTGGTATGACTGGCTCTGAAGATGCGTAAAGCAACAACCAGCATAGCTCAGTGAATCACTGAGACACACAAACCATCGTACAATGTTAAGGTCCAGTCTCGTCGCAAGGTCAACGTGGAGAAATATGGCTACCTCCCTCGTCTATGAAAGCCACATAGAGAAACACCTATGTGTTTTACTAAAGCGGCATGATGTTGGTTGCGTGTCCAAGTGCACAGACAAAAAGGATGCAAGCCTTGTCATGTAGACCTGGGTTTCAGTGGGAAAAACATGAAAAAGGAAATCATTGATGACTACAGTAATTGTAAAACCGTTAATCGATATCCGCTCGTGAAGGCAGTTTCGTTTCAATCACCATAAAAGCCTTAGATGAGATGGGGATGTAGACTCTACAAAAGCTGCACCCATGCAATAGCAACCAACCTGTAACTGCGCAGCCAGATCACACAGGCTCTTGCGCAACATTGTCACAGAGGCGTTCAGTGTTGGTTGAATGGGAGCAAGTTGGAGCGCGGCGTGTAGCATAGTCGGCGAGGTGGAACTGAATGCCGGGTCGTGTAAACCTCCCGGTAGAGTGCTGGAGATGCCGACTGATAAGAATCGTCGAAGACGGACGCTCGATTCTCGGATAGATGTCCAGGCCGAGTGTAGACGATCAGCCAACAGCCAACAGGGTATCAAAATCGGACCATCGGACTCATCCTCGAAGTGCTTGCGTGACGAGTGGAAACACATGACCTCGATCCACCGCAAGCCGAACCACATGCGACGGCCAGTGTTTGTCCGGATGACGTTGGCTGAGCGGCCGAAATTGTAAGATAGTCCATCCCAAACTGATAGGGATATGAAGAGGAGATCGTGATTGGAAGGTAAAGGAGGAACACAAACGTAAAAATGATGTTGAGCACTGGGTAGAAAAATTCAAACCACCCGAGGATGGACAGTCCGGAGGATTTAGACACACAGTTTGTAGTGCACGATTCCAGACTGCATTTAACAGTAGTTGGAGCAGTAGTATTCCCAAGAACTCTGCAGAGTGCGCTGTCACCTGTGATTCCCATTGCACAATTAATGGGTGTTCACGGTCGCCTTGAAGAACGTAGGTTGAGAGTGAGGTGATTGGGGCGGGATGGAGAACCAGTCCACTTTAGGATTCAGCAATTAAAGTAGTCATGTAAAACAGTTTATTTTATCCTATCTTCTAGAATCTAGATCATCAAAGCAGCACTGCCCAGCGAGGGCATTGTGACACGTAACCACTACTCTTTGCTGTTTGAGTGCCTAGGTGCCCGCTGGCTGACATAAGTCACTGATTGAGTTTACCCTAACGACTAGTTTCTGATCTTGTAGCCATTCATCAGATAACACACCGTAAGATAAAACTCGGTGTATTGATAGTGATTTCCTGCAGCTAATTAAGCATCCGTCTGTCGACGTGGCTTTTGCTGCGCGATTCCACGCTCCCATATCGTCCGATAGTCCCACTGGTTTAAAAACCATCCTAGTCGGTTTAACCAGTAAACACCAGGGTCCAGCAAACTACGGCACGCGACGTCAGTTCATACGGCCCGCCCAGTTCACTTAATTCTGCTTGATAATGTGCAAGGAACCCGAGACGCTGTAATGTAATTTACTTACAACACCGTATGTCGTGTTGTCTGTGACCGTATACTGTTTGAACACTTGCGTGAACCATCTCGTGGCTGTTACTTATGACAACTTACCACCGTACTATTTGTGACCCCACATCGTCTGAACCTTGATGTGTGCGATCACACATGTAACCCGTTCATCCGTGCATGCTCGCGTGTGTCTGCAAACCTCACACCTTGGTACCGCAATTTTAAAGTGGGTCAGCTCCAGTGAAGCGTGTCAAATAAAACACTGCTTATTAGGACACCATGAGATTATGTATTCATCACTTTCAAGTAATAATTGCTGAGTATTTGGAAAGAATTGCAAGTTGTTAGTAGAGAATTAATCCTGAACCGCAAATAGTGGAGGTTCATCCCTTACCGCGATACCAAATGTCTGGAATTATCACGTGTATCCAGTCTGAGCATTGTTTCTTGATCTCGTTCTGGGCGAAGACGCTATGTGATATAATCTATTATAGAAGGTATCAACGAAGTTCCCGCGCATTGCTGATGAGCTGTAGTTCCACAAATAATCACTAATCTTCCTTTTCTCCGGTGTTTCAATATGATTTTTATAACGCTCGTAACTTAATAACTCTTTTATGTTCAGAGCCTCTGTACATCATCCTACACTAAAAATAATAATAGAAGAAAAGCAGACGCTGAATGTCACCTTACTTTTCTTTATTTACCCAGAGTTTAATTTTTAGGTAGCAACCGAGATGCTTAATGATTACGCAGTCCACGTCAACAAATTTGTCAAAACTCCTGCGCGAGTAACTTACTTTTCCCCTTATCCGGCCCGCGCCAGTCATTTTTTAGTGCTCCGGCCAGCCGTATAAAATGATTCGTGACACCTGATCAAGAGGCACGAGCCGTCAGGCTGAGTTTGGGTTAGACAAGCACATAACCATCGACATCTATCTTTCTAAATTCCACTCCGTAGCGTTAAAACACGCAAGTCTGCGTTTAACATCGTCATTTGACGTGTCTCTGCCATTTTGTCCCGTTAGATGTAGTAAACGAAGTCGGAGGTAGTGGACTAAAGGCAAACACTACTGCACCAGTTAGCAGTAACGTGGAAAGGCCAGGATGCGGAACGGCGACGAGTCAACAGCAGGCCGGAATGACTCCCCAAAGGTGAAGAACACTTTAGAGCCGCAGTTGTATGCGCGCGAGGAATGGACGCACAAGCAATGCACACCACACAAACCAAAGACACAGAAAGAAACCCGCACCATGTTCTATCTCGCTGCCACTTATGTTTGCTAAGATTCAGACTACATTCAACGATTTATGCTGCCACGGTTCGTGCTTGCAGTTTCCAATCATTTATGCATCTTTCCTATCTTGCCAAACCTTCCTCACTACTTCACTTTCGCACGCTTTCCGGCCGGATCGCCCCACTTTACACATTACCGTGTGGCCCATCACACATTGGCAGTGTAGGCACGTTTTCCAGTGCACCTGCAGCCCTATCTACATTCCACAAGTGCCGCCTCGACCCATCGCTCTACTTAACAACCACGTGCTTGACAGTGACTCATCTATACCTGCTCCATCGTTAGACACGTCCGTAATCCCGATCTTTGTCTACACTGCCTCTTCATACCGAACACACCGGCTTGTGCACTGAAGACAGAAACGAGTCTAACTTAGCGTCCGCTATCGTTGTTTATTCTTCCTGGTTTATACGCGAAGCGTTGGCGGACATTTGAGAACACGTATGCACACGTCTGCCTAAACATGACCATCGTAAAGTGTATATATAGACACACACACAAACACACTTGTTTGCGTCGTCGAAATAGATGCCGTAGATGCTCTTTGTACGATTGATTCAACCACAGGTTGTATCAATCGCCTCGGACGCAGTGTGCGGCCTGAATTTTGACCTCAGTATTGGGTGCCGCCGTAGTTTGTGTGTCGCCTTCGGCAAAATCTCTCTTACTTGACTCGTAAGATTGAATGTTCTTCGCTGTCACTTTGTGCATGCCAAGGTCGCTTATAGATTAGACCGGTTTGCATGAGAGCCTGTAAAAACGTATGACGACGTGCACCAATTATTCCATTCTCCTCACTCTGCACTACCATAGTGTATGTCATCTTCTAGGAATCTCTGATACCGTTTGTGTTGCTGTAGTTCACTTCCGTCTAGTTTATCGGCGTGTGTTCTCCACATCCGATCTCATTGTCACGTGTCGTTGCGATAATAATTATTACTTTGACAATCACAACTCATGGCAAATAGAAAAAATGAAATCACCGGATAGAATAGTTAAAAAGTAGAAGTCGAACTATGAATGCAAAATGTCGTCGATTTCTGGATTGATCCGCTTTCCTCTAATGTGTTGCTGCGTTTCCTTGTGGCACTATAGTAAAACGCTGAAGTTAGCATAACCGCAATGAATTCGTCATTTTACCGAAACGTCTGAATTACAAGCTCCAGTGCGCGGTACACTACCGATCATATTGTAGTAAACTAAAGAAACACTACTATACCAGTTAGCAGTAAGGTGGAAAGGCCAGGATGCGGAACGGCAAGCAGTCAACAGCAGGCCGTAATGACTCCCCCAAACACTTTAGAACCGCAGTTGTATGCGCGCGAGGAATGGACGCACAAGCAATACACACCACACAAACCAAAGACACAGAAGGAAACCCGCGCCATGCAACCTCCAACAGGTAATAGCGAAGATGAGTAAATGTCTCGTTTGTCGGAACTGATGCACCTAGTATTATAGATGTTTGACATCATGGATAATTCCGATTGCGCCTCGGGTTCTTTCAGGTGCTTCCATCCGTAACGCTACATATACAGCATGTCCCTTCTGTCCGTTTATCCGTATTGAAAGTTTGCTTTCATTTTGTCCGATGTAATGTTTGCCATCCTTTGCAGTTTATCTTGTTATGACATCACTCTGACTGCCTTTGACCGTATTTGGGCCACGAATGCAATCTTAAGGTACCGTTTAGTTTGTGGACAAAAAGGTGTGACGCAGAAACGGGCGCGCCACGATCAAACCGAACTGATGGATCCGGTACGTGGACGACATGTGTCAGCAAACGAGATTCCATGTAAAAAATGCATGATGCGTTGTTTACTTTTGGTTCATATAAACAATGAAAACACCAAACGCACCTTCGTCACAACCGTTGTAGAATTAATGGAAATGTGCAACAAATAAGGTCGGTCGAAGAACTGCAGAGACAGAAAAAGTCGACTCAGGTGGTGTAGGGTTCGCTGGAATGACAAATACACCGGCACAAAAAGAAACAAAACCAACGGTGTTTACAATATAGGTAGCGTTCCACCAGTCTGCAGCGCGAAAATTCAACTTATAAAGGCAAAGAGAATAATCCACTTAACATAAAGGATGATGTCCCATTTCCTACAATAAAAAATTATATTAAGTTACTTTATGGAATATCTACCTTTAAAATTATTCAGCATGCACCTAAATAAGAGAACAAACTTGGTGTGTTGTGGTGGATGGAAAGTGGTAAAAACTGTTTTTGATGAAGCAATTTCTGGCGACCCGAAAGATATCAGTGCATATGGCTACAAGTCAATAACTAAGAAGATATGGTGCGCTCCCACACCAAGCAGTTAGAAATTAGGGCTGAAAACCGAACTTTACCCCTTATACATGAATCTCAAATGGTTCATTAAAACAAAAATAAAGGGTGCTCGATAACCCGAAGAAAAATTAATGCATTAGGCTGCTGTCCACATTCCAACTTTCAGGTAAATGTGTTGTCATGACAATAATTTTATAAAAAAGCGTTCCTTGTATCCATTTTAAATACAAACTGGTGGAACACTGCCTACAGCATACAACAAGAGAGGTTACATATGTTGAAAAGGCACCCATCCGGCCTGTTTTGACTAGAATTGACTTGGTCAGGGTATGCAGAGCGCGAACAGCTCCGATGAGGAGTGAGCGACAACGGTCGACATATATAGCAAATGCCGCAGGTCACGGAATTGCCGACGTTACGCAAGGGCACTCAAAGTGTGTCAACCGGACAACTAAGTCGCCCTGGCGCATACTGCAGGCATACACAAGCTACAAATGCATCGGGGCAGTTCACCTACGCAAGACTGCTGTCGTTCACCAGAAATTAGTTCAAATATCGCGAATTGGGACAGAGTTGGAAGGTGGTCAGGCAGACTACAAATGATATAGATACACTTCGGTGCAGGTTTGGTACACCTAGTCACAGAACGCTGGGAGAAAAAAATGGACACCTCCATACATGTGCGCTTAAGGAACCGAAGCCCGTACTCGCAGTGGAACGGTATGACGTCAACCGGTGTAGTTAGCATAGCAATGGGAATGCGGGGACCCATGGGATGATGTGTTGATGTCAGTGGGTCGTGGAGTACAAATTTGACAATTTACCGAGGCAACTGTCACTAACAGGTATGGCAAAGAGGCCAATCTTCAAACAACCAATGCAAGGTTTTAGACATACAGGCAGCTTGAGTCCGAAACGCATAAGGACAGGAGAATATAGGCAAATTACTACTCAAAGTGCAACTAAATCTTAGGCCGAATTACATGTCAAGCGCTTGAATGAGAGAAGCGATCACCTCTAAATCGGGCTCAGTTAATGAATAGACGCATGCGGAACAAAATGTTGATCTTGTAATGGGGTAAGAAACTATACTAGACAATCGACTCACGCTCAGCTTCTGAATGGGGTTCATACTGCCAAAACTAGACCAAAAAGAAATGTACACGAGACAGAAAAGTTTACCGGTCATCAGACATCTCCACGATCAGAGCAGTGAGAAGACGTAAGTTGTGATATGTCAACATTTCGATTGTTCTCATTAGTCGCAAACACAATACAAGCAGCATTCACAGACAGTGATATACAGGGGGAAAATTGGCACACTAATCAAAATGTCAAAAGCAACACCACGGTAACCTATTTGATTGTTTCAATAGTTTCTGTGCACACAACGCAGGTTGATAAGCCCTAATTAGCAAAGCCTCCCTAATTTCCAAAATTATCGGATTGTTGTTGCGTAATAACACCTTGAACGCTGTGTTGTGTGCACAGAAACTATTGAGACAATCAATTAGGTTACCGTGGTCCTGATTTTGATGTTTTGTTTGGTGTGCCAATTTTCTCCCTATTGAGAATGATGCATTCTTGATGCTTCTTCACCGCAGTTTGGCTAAACCAATTTACACTTAAACTAGGTCTTTTTAAGCAGGCTAAATTTCATTCCACTTTATTTGGTTTGTTCTGCCTACTTGAATAATCTTCTATTAACTAGCCACGTTGCTTACGCTAATTGCGCCTATCTTCGGTAACTTTGTTGCGTTTGTATCAGTTTTAAGTAACTTGTGGACATTTTTCCTAATCGCGGATTCGTTGCTAACCAACTTACTTCATATGCTAATTTAGCGAAGTTATGCCACCGAATCTGTATACATTACTGGATTTATTTTATCTCATCTTGTCGTTTCAAGTGATTGGCTGTTGCTTGATATCCCCGGTATGGCTGCGCTTGATGTGCATGTTGACAAGGTACCTACCTGTCTATTACCCACTACCTCGTCCACACGGGCTCCAAAAGACAGTTGGTCGTTACTGGAGGGGACGGGGTGCACGATCCTTGTAGCCGTGCTAGGCTCGGAGGGCGGTTCCATGCACTTAGTGTGGAGCGGACTACGGTCTAGCCACCGCCTTGTGTGCGCTTGATTCCCCACATACAGTGTGCTTGTGTTTGCCTGCGAAGGAGTGCGGTCCGGCTCCGCTGATGATAAGTGGCTCCCATCCACATTCCTCCCGGTCGTATTCCTTCGGGTTTACACTGGATATAGGGTGAGTGGTTGGAGCTGTGCGTGGTGCAGCGCAAGCCACCCATGGTCCCTATGTAGGCGTAGGCGTCCTGTGGCTGGCCACAGTGACATGCAAATCCGAAACCGGATGCCGCCAACCATATACCTGTCTATGAATCCCGCTTGTATTGTGTTTGAGACTGATGAGAACAATCGAAATGTTGACATATCGCAACTTATGTCTTCTCACTTCTCTGACGAAATGTCTGAAGGGATCCACTGTTTTACCTTTCTGAAAAGAAGACTCCTCGCTACCGTTGTGAGGGCATTAGATCGATTGTTATCATTGCGCTGCAAGTCAACTGTGGAACGTACTCGGAGGGAATTTTTCGAAGGATGTATCCGTTCATGTTGTTTTCCGCGAGGATTTGCCAAGACGCTGTCAAGGAACAAGTTGCCCATTAACAACACCAATCTGACAAGGATAGCGTGGACGCACATCGACGCCTGTCTTGAACGAGAAGGGAAGTTCCTCGAGACGCAGAGGCGGTTTGCATGTATGCTCAAAGAGTTGTTGTTGGTTTACCAATTGAAATTTGAGGCCTTTTCCACTGACATTATCAGTCGCACGAGAACGAAGACAGTCCGCAATCTGCAGGGTTCCCTTGCAAAAGCTCCAAATGCTACCTTCCCTACTGAGTGCTTAAATCATGTATACAATCTGTCATTTGTACAGTTCACGCGTACACAACCGGAAGTTCGCTCACTTGGACTGAAATACCGATTGCCACCAAAAGCAATAGATAAGCACAACACGCAGGCTCAGTTTGAGTATCTGAATGAACAGCTCAGTGACCACACGCCAAGATCAATGGAAGATACGGGTTGGTTCCGGGCAAAATTGGTAGATATTGCGAACCAATACTTGAACACGCCGATAAGCCAGAGATGATGTCTGAAAGCCGAACACAATATGACGATCAAAGTGTTAAAATAAATGGGACACAATGTTTCTGCAGCCGGATAAGGGATCAGGCATTGTGATAATGAACCGGTCTGACTACATTGCAAAGATGGGGGGACAGACGGAAGTTCCAGAAAACAACACCACCAGGAAACAACATCTTGGTCGAGAAGTAAGTGGCACGGAAACTGCAGATTCTCTTACTACATGATTACATCAATGACTCGCAATACAGGCGGTTGAAACCGGCTGGCACTCAGACACCCAGAATGAGGGGCGCTCCCAACTTACACAAGGTAGGTAACCCCCTGCGCCCGATTATGAATATGAACAACCCACCGTAACACAAGGTTGCGCGGTAACTAGCGAAAATGTTGGAGCCGGTACGCAAACTCCTGGCCACGTATTGCCTAAAGAACTCCTTTAAATTAGTCGAGACACTGGAACAGGTGTCGATGGGTGCGGAGCACATGTACTCAATAGACGTCGACTCCCTATTAACAAACGTACCTCTACGTGAGACGGTGAAAATTTGCGTGATTTCATCGCGAGTCAAAACATGTCGGTTGGCCTGCCCCTGGAGTATTGGAGGGATAAGATCCTATTATGCGCGGAAAATATACGGTTCGAGTTTGAGGGGACTGCTTATTAACAAGATCGACGGCGTCGTCATGGGTAGCCTCCTGGGATCAGTATTAGCAGACATCTTTGTAGGCTTGATAGAAAGACGAGTTCCTGCCAGTCAATATCTTGGAACATATTTGGAACCGATCGGGAAGTCATCATTTCAGAAAACTTGGTAAACGACCGGTTAATGTATTTATGAGGATACACAACGTTTCGCATTTGACACAAATGCTTCATCAGGCCAAAAGTTCCTGCCAGCATTAGTGAAGCTAAGCTGTACAAGCGGTATGTGGACGACATCCTAGTTTTCACCAGCAACGAAGATTTTGCACGGCTGTCGATAGTTCTGAATTCAATTCATCTTAATCTATCGGTGTCCCATGAGTTGGAGAAACACGATAAACTGCCATTTTTGGATATACTCATTAAAAGATGGGCCGATGGTACACTACAGCGCACGGGTCGTCGTAAGGCAACTTGAAGTGGGCAGTATCTCCCCTTTTCCAGCTTTTCCCCGGTCGCATACAAACGTGGCCTAGTGAAAACGCTCTTCTACAGAGCCGGACGGATATGCAGCCCAGAAATGTTGCAAGCTGAAGAAGAATTTTTGTTCAAAACCTTGATTTCAGATGGGTATCTTGAGAAGTTCATTCAGATCCACAGCAGGCCTCCCAAGGAGAAAATGCCGGTGTTAACAGCAGAGAAAATGTATGTTTATTTGTTCTTGCCGTTCAAAGGAGACCATGTATCAAATGATATCGGACATAAACTCTGGTCCGTCCTTACGCGCACCTATGCGACCGCCCAGTTGCGGCTCATACATACAACGCGAAGCCTTGTTCTTCATGGCCGTCAGAGCAACTCATTAGTCAGTCCGGCCTCTCACGTCGTTTACCAGTTCACCTGCGGTTGCGGTGACATTTACTTATGCAGGACTGACCGTCAGTTGGTTCAGAGAGTAGCTGAAAATGTGCCGAGGTGGTTGGAACAACTGATGACGCAAGAAAACGGAGTGGATCCGAGGATGAACCGGAACCCAGCATCATCTATTACCAAGCATCTCTTGGCAACTCGACATCAGGTGAACCCGGAGACTGCGTTCAAGGCGTTATTACGCAACAACAATCCGATAATTTTGGAAATTAGGGAGGCTTTGCTAATTAGGGCTTATCAACCTGCGTTGTGTGCACAGAAACTATTGAGACAATCAAGTAGGTTACCGTGCCCTTGCTTTTGAGATTTTGATTAATGTGCCAATTTTCCCCCTGTATATCACTGTCTATGAATGCTGCTTATATTGTGTTTGCGACTGATGAGAACAATCGAAATGTTGACATATCGCAATTTATGTCTTCTCACTGCTCTGACGAAATCTCCACCATCGTTAGGGAAACCGAGAGGACTGGCAGGGAGTGCAATGCCTGAGGTAATTCGAAGCATGAGCATGCCTCTGCTCATCCAAATTCTGAGTTGGTAACTGAAAGCGGATTCTTCTTATACGGGACAGTGCGAAAAACATCCTCCGAAACGATCATGCTGCCTAGTGCAGGAGGCCTTGGCATCCAACAGATTACTATCATGCACGATGGTTCTTAATGAGCCGTCACTATATACCTCTTGTTGCCGCTGAATCACCGTGTTTCTCTGCTACTTAAGCCTCTCCTGTCTGCCTGACGCCATGTGGGAGGACACGCAATAAAAACCCACAAACCAACAGAGAACGCGAGATTGTAAACTGAATAAAACCGAAAATGATACAACGATGGGGCGAAATAACCCACTTTTTGGCGAAACAGCTGGGCACACTAGCAGGTATTCCGCGTGCGCATGCTCCAGCGATCTGTACTGCCTCACATCCGCACCCTGAGAGTATCGGGCTTCCAAGGTGGATCCCGTTTGACACGGTCGGTCTGTATGCGATGTGGACCAGCGTGGTTGCATCACGTCGGTTGGACTGTCCTGGTCGTAACTGAAGGAGCACGTATGCGGCTTGCGCGGCTTGAAGATTAGCTGGTTGGACATACGATGTACAAAACTGGACACGTGTTTGCGCACGGCGCGGCGCTCCTCCGTGGAAGGGATGACAAGGCCACGGCATCTGCTAGAGCACAAGGAATAACGAAGGGGATAAAAGTGTTTCTTTAAAAAACAATAGAGCGTTCGACCTAGGGTTACAGATAGGTAATTGCTACCGCCAAACCATCCTAAGTAAACATAGATCCTCAGGTTTGGCGACATGAGCACATCAATCGCAGCGCACTCGGCTCGGTGTTCGATCCAAAGAGGATCTGGAACACATTCAGTTCGGATCATACGGGGGAATGGAAAAAGTATGTTGCCCTAGCAACCTTCCATGGCCATATGGCGTCATCAAAAATTAAGGACTGACAATGACGCTAGATTGACCTGGTGTTCTGTGCTTGTTACCACGTTACATCACAGGAGGTAAGAGTCCAGCAGGCCAAGGCGCCTTTCCCCTATGGCTGAATGTCAAGCGTGCTCGTTGCGAAAGCAAGGGAAAAATGATACTGGAAACGAATGATAACACAAAAATTGCGGTCTTTAGCGACAAACTGTTGACATGGGTTGTCACTCACTTAGTGTCGGCGTGCTTCAGGTTGTCACCGGCCACTCGATCTGGAGAACGAAGAGTCGAGGGTTGCGCGTTTGGTAGTGCTTCGTACAGCGTTTTCGGTTGCAGAACAGGGCTGAGGATAAAAATACCTGCGAAAGAAAGCAGCCGGATAGAAAGTAGACTACTCAAACAAGAACCAATGAAAACAGACAAGCGTATGAAGCCGAGCAGAGCTGCAGGCTGCTCCTCAAATCATCAATGGCCGTATCGCAAATCAGCCACTGCCTGCACAGTTGTTGACGCAACAACACGCTCGCTAACAAAGAGAGCGATTAGTGACTTGTGTTACATTAGTCACGTTTCCGTATATTCAATCGACACATCGAGGCATACGTATTGCAGTCCAGGTAGCTCAGAAGTACTCACATTCCAGGTTAGCATACAAGTGCGCTATCACAGAGAGGAGTGACTCGATGTAGAAACAGTTCCGATGTCCAAGGTCGTGAACTCAGCCTACTTCACAGTGTAGCCAACAAAAGTACAAGGCAAGAAGATTACAGTTTAGTCAGTCATAGAGATTATGTTGTGCGGTAACGGCGACATCAACAGCGATCGTGTGCTAGAAAAGAACGCTTAACCTATAAAAGATAATGGATGCGACAGCCGAAAACTGGAACCAAAAAACGGCAAACATTTCACGCCAGACCAGAAGTGACACTGGATGAAGAAACGTGTTATGGTCTCAAATCATATTGCTACTGTGTCGCTGGCTTAAAACAAAAAAGTGCCACACTTGATTGATCCGCATGACGGAACGGGCTGAGGCTTCATCGCCCAAAATGTATGCATAAAACAGCCCTTAAAAATAAAAACATTTGATACCCACTTTGTTGGCCTATTTACTATTTTGCCACACAGGCACAGAGGCAATTGGAGTATGGAAGTAAGGGTGAAACCCATTGTGGGAATTCCCTGCATGGAAGCAAGTCCCCTGGTGACACTTCCATAGATGACCGTATTACTTTACTTGAAGTTTCCGTGAAATCTACATTTATTATTTTTCCTAGTTTCTTAATCTTTCTACTATTTTCAAACTGCTGATCACTTCAAAAACCCATATAGGAACCATTGAACAAAATACGTAAAATAAACCATATTATACGATCACGTTGTATATGTCGATAAGATCACACAATTGGTCTGTGTCTCGCATTGGCGAGGACTAAAACGTTTACGTATTTATTTATTTATTTATAAAGTTTCAAAGATGTTAAAGTGAATGTCAACAGCTGATGAAAAGATACGGAAAGTGGCGGAATCATGGGTGAGCATGTAAAGGTTTTAGAGAACCGTGCCGGACCCTAGAGAACATATGATTGTTACTCGAAGATATGGTGATAAATAAAACACAAAAATCCAATTGCGGTCAACAATGCAACTAGGGCTTTGCGTGAGTATGATACTAAGGCGAAAAAAGGAAGTAGTGACGCACAACTGCTTACTGTCAGCGACATCGAATAAAGTCATATTAACAGTAAAATAACACACATTCAAGAATTGGAGAGAACTTGGACAAGAGATAAGACAGTAATAAGTCAAAAGCATTGGCCCATAGGTTCCTGCCAAGTAAGAATCCGCATAAACATTAGTTCTTGAATGGGACCTAAGCCAATTGTAACCACGACGCTTTCAAATTCCTTCTTAAGAAAATTATGTTCCTCCACAGATCTCTCAAGATGGTTCTTAGCGATAACAAATTGCCCCCAACGGGCACGAACGTCCCTATATGCCACTGTACATTAAGTGATCAATCCCAAATCAGCCAATAGTATCCCACTCTGCGTACTACCTGTTATAATATAGGTAAATTTTGGGGTTGGCCAATCAACGAAAAGTACAAATTTTGGTGTTTGCGCCCGATGTATGCAATTTGATGGCGTTAAGGACAACTTTGACAGAACTGTGGAGGAACATGATTTTCTTAAGAGGGAATTTGAAAGCATTATGGGTGCACTCGAATGAGAAAAGTTACAGAAGCTGTGACAATTCGACAGGAAGCATAAAAGAACGACAGATGGTGGTGTGTTTGAAGGTACGTCGTTCACATGCACATGTTAAACTTACATCCACAATCATAAGATACTTCGCGTTCGGTGGAGGACTCGTGATCCCACGAGTACAAAAGTACGTGGCCCGTCTGTCGAAGCTCGCGTACCAGTTTTCGTTGGGCACGCATTCGCCGAATGATACCAACTTCTTTCTGGTGCTCATCAGTGGACGCGCGGGGTTTCACACGGAATCCAAAGTAAAGCAGCGCCGCGGTATCCAAGTCAGCACAGAGCAAACCGGTGAGGTCGAGCAACTGAAAAATGGAATGAGAGTGAGGGAACAGAAATTAGACATGCATGCGTGTTTTCAGCGGGATAGATTGCAGTTAACGATACAATCAAGGTTAAACGTGTTAGAACGGCAGCACAGATGAGCCAACATAAGCAAAACAACGATAGTACATCATTGGGTATAAGTGATGATTCGCTGTCGTACAATCAGAATGACACATAGTATGAGGAATAGTAAGAGGGGGACAGGCGGGACCTAGTGCTGTAAGCAAACGTTCGGGGTCAAAGCGCTTACACATGGTCAATGGCATGCGGTCATAAACAACCGCCAACGCAACTTATTCAACATTATTTGTTGTTCTAGCTAATCAACCTCACTATCTTAGTCCAGTACTCGCCCGTGCACAGCATCGTTGCAGACGCGCTGCTGCAATCCAACCCTAGTAAGGCACCACAGGCAGCGATGATCAAAGACTTGAAGATGCCTAAGATCATCGGATCAAGGTGTCTAAGTCCCGCTCGAAGAGGTAAGAATGGCTCTCATTATCACCTTATACGAAAGGCTTGTCAGAGCAGTGGAAATTCTTTCTGACATCAGAGGTGTCGAACGTTCAAAAAGCGGTTCTAGCTTTCAAAATGCGTGAAAAAGTAACATTTACTTGTGAGAATTTGTGTGGACAACCCAAGGTCGTGTTTTACAGCAAATTGTCAAGATATGACAATGTTCCGGTAGAACACGGAGTAAGTAGTCCTGAATAACGAGATATAAACCGGGCAGAACCACACGCCAAGTGTGTCATAAACGCAGAGTGTCCCGTGAATAGTGGAAAAACAGCTTCGAAATGTGGAACCGTGAAAGATCCGGGGATTTGAGATACCTCGCTGTTGCAGGACAAATAAAGCCGCGGTTGTTCAAAACCACGGGATTGTGAGCAATGTTCGACACTTGCGGACATCATGACCGCACAAATATGCAGAGCACTTCTGTAGGTGGACCGACACCATATCTGCATATTTTCAGTTTGTAGTTCATTCCATACCCTCTGCATTAAAGATAGCAATTGTTATGCCTTCCTGGTGGTTACGCCACGCCCTGACGATCCGGTATCAACAACTAGTTGGACGAACGAATGAGACTCGGAACTAAATCCACGCACGATAAGGTAATCGAAGAAATGCGAAGTTCCTACTACCCGTGAGACAGGCATAACATCGTTACTACACGCAAGTTGGACGGGCTCCTAGAAAGAACACAATCTCACACGCGACTTGAAATAGTAGAGAATATCCGTAGCTCGGGATGTGGATGTGTGTTTCGCATAGCTATTAGAGCTTAATTATTATTTTACAGATGTTTCGTTGCCAAACTAGGCAACATCAACAGTGAGGCTGGCTTTAAGATCCTGTTTCGTATAGTCGCGTAAGCGACTTCAAGATCTAAGTGCTTATTGATCGAGTTCTGCTTTGAATACCAGGCTTCAATAAACTCACGTGTTTACCGGCTTGTGACTCTTCCGAGAATTTTCACATGCTCCAAGTCGAATTCGGCATCCATATGCACGGACATTAAAGTTTTTATCGACGGCATATGGTTAGGTTATGTTCATGTCGCCTTGTGCCAAGCTTTCTTTCTGTTTGTCCTACATAGCATTTGTCACAGTCTCGGAAGCAGATCTCGTAGATTACACTAGATGTTTCCCACTAGCTAAGTTTAGCCTTCACTTTTCGTAGCCTTCACATTTCGTATTGTTTCTGTTGGTTGGTGGGCAAATTTGACTCTTGAAGGCAACAAAAGTCTCGCTGCTATTTCCGAGATTCCGTTGATGTAAGGTAACACGCTTTACTTTTCAGTCGTTGCATTTGTTAAGGTGTGTTGTATTGCTTTATGTGTGGTCAAGCAACGCAGTACGAATCCCTTCGGGTACGAATTCCGTTTGAATAGCCTGAAGGGATGGTCTTTCTCCGCCTGCCTCAGCTGCTGCGTGCTGCAATGTGTCCGTGCACATTTGCAAAGAGTAAGCACGCAGCTGCGCTTGCGGGATACCGGATAATTGCTGTTCTAGTTGAGGATGTGGTCCGTATGTGTTGATTTTCGATAGACCGTCGTTTCGAGTGGTCCTGAACCAGTCCTACGTACGAGAATGTCCAGAAATGGTAGCTGTCCATCGTTCTCCGCATCCCTCATGAACTGGATGCAGTCGAACACACTGTTGATTAGCACCTGTGTCTCTTCTAATTCGTAGCGTTTGAGGATGAGGAATGTGTGGTATACGTAGCACACCCAAAGTTTCAGGTCAAGCAATTAGGAGTGCTATATATATATATATATATATATATATATATATATATATATATATCTGCGTTTCTTTCTCGAAAGGGTGAACAATTGATACTAAATTAGGAACAGATCAGTCTGCACAGAAATGTTCATGGTCTTGCATGAGTGCATGTTACTGCCAAATCTTCATCATCAGTACACGTTAATTGAGGGTTAGAAACACATCGCAGCTAATGTGCCGCATACAAAAAATGAGACAGAAATATTACAATACAAAAAACATGAGGTTAAATATCATATTACGCATTTTGCATGAGATTGGGATTGGAGGAAAAAATTAAAGGTGGGGGGTGGACAAAGAAACTTACAATACAAACACCATTGGGGTCGGATCTTCGCCATATCAGCAAGTGTGTCCAACCAAACGTGTTCATCGTCCTTAGGACCCCAGCCAGGCAGTCAGAATGCACCAACCGACGCTAGTTTCACAGTGAGGCTTTTTATTCCTCTCGACCAAGTCATCGTTTGGCCTCCCCTCCTCCTCTTCCAACCGCACCCGCGGCACGCAAACAACGCACGTCGCGGGAGTCAGTGTGCTGGCATACACAACAGGTGGCCCAGCCATCAGAGCCTGGTGCGTGATATAATGGTGCTGAGCAGTTCACTCGCTCTCCTTGCACCAAATACGCGACGTCGAATACGCTCCTTGCTCACGTGGTACTCCCACCAGACATGAGCTAAGCTGCGAAGGCAGCGATGATCGAGCGTGACGAGCCTCTTTATGTCCGTCGACCTGATGGGCCAGGTTTCACAATCATATGGGGGGGGGGGGTTGAACGGGCGGCGGCACTGTAAACTTTGCCCTTCAGGGCGAGAATAATATTGCGTCTGCGCCGCAGGTGGAGGAGATTGGCAACAGCACCTCGAGCTTTTGCTATACGGTTCGTGACTTCCTCTTCGATCCCATGGGTGCTACTATAGCTGCCTAGGTACTTGAACTCCTAAACGACTTCTAGCTGATCACCACAGCGTTAGCGCAGAGGTGGATCCCTGCCAATCTTGGAGAGGAACTTCGCATTTCGATGGAGTAAAGCATAGTCCAAAACGATGAACAGCTAGTGCTAATCGGTCCAGTGCTGCGTGGCATGTTTGAGACCTGTCACAGATTATGGTAATATCGTCCGCATACTCCAAGTCAAGAAGTCGCTCACCAGCAATAGCTCCACACCTTGTAGGTCATGTCTAGCGATTGCTGTTTGCTCGACTTTTCCAACTGCGAAGTTAAATGGGAAAGGGGACAGTGAGCAACCTTGTCTCACACCGCTAGTGATACGGAATGGTGGCGGCAGCTTGCCATAAACGCTCACTCTGCCCGGACTACGCGCGTACAGCGCTTTGATAATGGTTGCGTATTTATCAAGCCAATCTTTGCTCAGCAGACAGTTCCAAAGGGCACATCGATCGACTGAGTCGAAGACACCTTTTATGTCGAGAAACACAACAAATGGGGGTCGCCAATACACATGGTGGTGCTCCAACAATTGACGCAATGTGAAGGTGTGGTCGATGCAGCTCCGACCTCGACGAAACCCGGCATCCTTTCACGAATCTGGCTTTCACGAGTGCCAGTCAGTCTGTGGAGAATGACAGACGCAAGCAATTTAGAGGCAATTGATGTCAGACTGATCTCTTTATGATTGCCGCATTCCGAACGGGAGCCTCCCTTGAAAATTGGGACAATGATGGAGCTGCTCCAGTCTGTCAGAACAGTCTCTTGCTCCCAAAGTTTCACTACCAACTGGTGTAAATCATCTACTAGAGCAGGTCCTCCGAATTTGAAGAGTGCTGGGGGAATTTTATCTGCCCCTGCGGCCTTATGCAATTTCGACAGCCTGATCTCACATTTGACTTCTGTGCGTATTTTCGGATCCAGGGAGACGGTCCGGGGATAAAGGCGCTCAATGCCCGGAAAAGAAAGCGATAACTCAGGCTGGTTAAGTTGCCTTGCATAATGTTCGGCCCAATGCTTCAAGCGTTTTGACAGGCTGTGGATCGTCTGTCCACTCTCGTCGCCTATGGTCTCGCTAACAGCAGGTCTCCTGCTGCCTGTTTCCCCATAACAGAGGGAATAACTTACGATGATTAGTACCAACGGTAGCGACTGTTTACAGCGAGGCACGATGAGACCACCAGGCTTCGCGGTCTTTCATCAGGCTAGTACGCAGTTTTGCCCTGAAATGTTTGCGAGTCTCATTATATTCGCTTGCAGCCGGATTACGTCGGCGAGCATCCACAAGTTCCAGAGACTGTGTAGAGATCCAATATCCAGTTTGGCAATTTGATTTATCACATGAAGACAAACCCGCTAATAGTGACGATGGACGAATATGCGACCAGTGAGCTTCGACGGTGTTCAGTGGGCGCTTACTCAGCCGGATGTCAGCTCACTTTGATAGACATTCAGAACACCTGCTTTCGCCAGCTGACTGGTGTCAATCCGTTGACATCGATGTTGTGGACCTCCACCGGAAGTCGGCGCAAACATGTGTGTGATCAGAGTCCACGCTGGTGCTCCAAGTCGAGTAATAGTTTTGGACACAGCCTGTTCGGCGGTAACTGATCGCGATATGATCGATTTGTGTCCATGATTGGTGCGAAGCTGGTGGGCTCCAAGTCACACTTCTGCAGGTGCTGTGTCGAAAGTTGGTGTTCGCGAGACAGAGACGCGCATCTTCACACAGCTGA